GACTACAGTAGTGCCTTTCTGGTTGGTCCTGTGTCCTGGGTGTCATTAGGAATATTCTTACCTACCTGAGAAAGCCTTAGTAAGTTCAAAACCCTGTCTAGAAGGGAGCTTATATTTAATATGCTGGCCTGAATCAATGCATTGCTGGTTCTTTTTTTTTTTTGGACACAGAGTCTTACTCTGTTGCCAGGGCTAGAGTGCTGTGGCATCAGCCTAGCTCATAGCAACCTCAAACTCTTGGGCTCAAGTGATCCTCCTGCTTTAGCCTCCTAAGAAGCTGGGACTCCCAGGCATGCACTACCATGCTCGGCTAGTTTTTTTTTTTTTTTTTTTTCCTGTTTTTAGTTGACTGGCTAATTTTTTCTATTTTTAGTAGAGATGGTGTCTCTCTCTTGCTTGGGCTGGTCTCAAACTCCTGACCTCAAGCAGTCCTCCTGTCTCAGCCTCCCAGAGTGGTAGGATTACAGGCATGAGCCACCATGCCCAGCCTGCATCACTGGTTCTTTTTTTTTTTTGAGACAGAGTCTCGCTTTCTTGCCTAGGCTAGAGTGAGTGCCGTGGCATCAGCCTAGCTCACAGCAACCTCAAACTCCTGGGCTCAAGCGATCCTCCTGCCTCAGCCACGAGCCACCATGCCCGGCTGATTTTTATATTATATATATTAGTTGGCCAATTAATTTCTTTCTATTTTTATGGTAAAGACGGGGTCTCGCTCAGGCTGGTTTTGAACTCCTGACCTTGAGCAATCCGCCCGCCTCGGCCTCCCAGAGTGCTAGGATTACAGGCGTGAGCCACTGCGCCCGGCCGCATCACTGGTTCTTAACATAACTCCATATTGGCAAAGCATCATGTGTACTCAGCTGACTAGTTTTGCTCAATAAATTAGTCTGCATTAGCAGTGAGTTTCAAATTGTGGTCCCTGGACCAGCAGCATATGCAAACTCATCGCTAATGAGTCAGAAACTCTGGAGGTGGGGCCCAGCAATCTGTTTTTATAGGCTCTCCACCACTGACCTAGAGCCTGCTGTGGTAAACATTGCCATAGGGTCTAGCTATAGCTTGTTATTAGACTCAGGAGTGATCCCTACACTCTCTGGGAAATAGTATCAGAAAGGTGAGAGCTAGTTTTTCTCACAAAGCAAGTATCAAAAGCATCCCCTTAGTGGTTTTCTTCATTGCCTATTTTCTGTTGCTTTGATTTCTGTGCCAGGAAAGAAAGCTGCCAGTATACTTTTCTGAGCATTTTTGTTAAATTGGCATCTTTGATAAATATAGTGATATAGATTTTAGTGGTAGCTAATATTTATTGAGGATTTTAAATATGTGCCAGGGCTATTCCAAGCAATCACATCTATTAACTAAGTTAATCTTCACAACAGCCCAGTTGTTTAGTAAGTACAGATAACAGAGGCACCTAAGGCTGCACTGGTAAATGTTGAAGCTGAGATTCAGACCCTTAATGGTCTTGATAAAGAGCCTGAGCAGTCATACAATATGCTGTACTTGTGGCCTTTACATCTTTTTTTTTTTTTTTTGAGACAGAGTCTCACTTTGTTGCCCAGGCTAGAGTGAGTGGCATGGCGTCAGCCTAGCTCACAGCAACCTCAAACTCCTGGGCTCAAGCGATCCTACTGCATCAGCCTCCCAAGTAGCCGGGACTACAGGCATGTGCCACCATGCCCGGCTAATTTTTTGTATATATATTTTTAGTTGGTCAATTAATTTCTTTCTCTTTTTAGTAGAGACGGGGTCTCGCTCAGGCTGGTTTCAAACTCCTGACCTCGAGCAATCCGCCCGCCTCGGCCTCCCAGAGTGCTAGGATTACAGGCATGAGCCACCACGCCTGGCCGGCCTTTACATCTTTAACATTGTTTTTACTTAATATGTGTGTGTGTGTGTGTACACATTATTTGTGTGCACACACAAGCAAATAATACGTGATCAACTTTGGGCATAATCTGATTGTATTTCTAATTATTAATTTCCGGAAATAGAATTATTAGATTGAGGGGCATAAGCATTTTATAGTGATTCTTCATCACTGCACCGTTCTCATCTTTTCTCATAAGTAACTTTCTAAAAATACCCAGTTCCAAAAAAAAAAAAAAAATCCAGTTCCCATTGTAGCTCCTGCTTTAGAGTTTTCAGTATCATGAGGCCCGCTCTATGGCAGTGGGCCTTCCTGGGTATTTTTCCATCCTCATAAATGTGTTCATTTTTTAGGACCGAGGAAATAATAATGTAATGAGCAATTATGAGGCCTACAAGCCTTCCACAGGAGCTATGGGAGATCGGCTGACGGCAATGAAAGCAGCTTTCCAGGTCTGAAATAAGCAATTCATTAAAAGAGCTCTTAATAGTAACTCTTGGGCAATGACAAAGGGGGTCTAGTTCTCAACAGTAGCTTACTTGGAGATGCAGGTGTGGAACCAGAGAACCCCTCATGCATCTGCTTGAGTCACTCCCAGAGTCTAGGACTGCAGTTCCATAGTAGGATTTGTGTTCTCTCCCTTCTCGGCAGCCAGTGGTGTTGCCCACTGCCAAGGCTTTGTTCTCTGGCTGAGAATAATTGCCATCTTTTTGGCTAAGTTTGGTTCTGTTATCTCTTATGAACTAGAACTTTTCTTCCTTCCACATCTGCCTTTCCAGTTAGCTAGCTGGCATCTAATTAACTAACTAGCTGGGTCTTAATTTACATATTTTATCTGTCTTCCGATTGTTTCTAAAATTTTTTCTGGTTTTCACTAATACAAGAATATAAAAAATCCTTGTTTAGGAAATCAGGGCTTATTTTTCAGATTTGAGGAAACAATGTGAATACATATTCCATATATTAACACCACAAAAAGGTCTGCAGCCACACCTTATATAATCAAACTTCTGGAGCAAAATATATTAATAGTGATGATAAGCTGAGTAGATAGAAACTAAATAGCCTTTATATCAGTTCAAGTTAGGTTTTGCCATCAAACTTTAAAATTTTGTTTTTTAGTTTTCAGCACTTTTTAGTTCTAAATTGTAAATAATAGAGTGTAAATCATAAATGTGTTGAATTGCTATATACATTGATGTTTTACTCTAACCAGTCAAGCTATAAATTTCAGTACATTGAGGTCCATCTCTCCACAGAGATGCAGGAGTTTTCCTTTACAGCATAAGAATAGAACAAAAGGGGTGGTGCTATGGAGGTACCAGGGCACTAAAGTCACAGTGCCAAGACAGCATAGTTAGAATTTCTATACACTTTATCATTTGCCAAGCTTATTTTACTCGTTTCTTGAACTTACTATCTTACTTACTGTCCTGGTGTCTCTTTGTCTTTCAGTCACAGTACAAGAGTCACTTTGTTGCAGCCAGTTTAAGCAATCAGAAGGCTGGAAGCTCTGCCGCTGGGGCAAGTGGATGGACTAGTGCAGGGAGCTTGAATTCTGTTCCAACTAATTCAGCACAGCAGGGCCATAACAGTCCTGACAGCCCCATCGCTGGTGCCACCAAGGCTATCCCGAGCTTTGGCAATACTGGGAACATCAGCAGTGCTCCAGTGACCTACCCTTCTGCTGCAGCCCAGGGAGTCAACAACTCAGCTTCAGGGAACGACAGTCGAGAAGGGATTGGGGGTGGCAATGGGAAAAGAGAGAGATATACTGAGAACCGGGGTGGCAGCCGTCATAGTCATGGAGAAAGTGGCAATCGGCATGGTGACAGCCCACGTCATGGAGATGGTGGTCGCCATGGAGATGGATACCGCTACCCAGAAGGCAGTAGCCGTCATCCCGATGGCCAACGGCATGGGGAAAACAGGCACGGAGGAAGTGCAGGACGACATGGGGAGAGCCGGGGTGCAAACGATGGTCGGAATGGGGAAAGCAGGAAAGAAGGTTGTAATCGTGAGAGTAAGATGGACCCCAAGGTGGACAGCAGCAAGATGGACAAGGTAGACAAGACAGACAAGACAGCTGATGGCTTTGCTGTCCCGGAGCCACCCAAGCGCAAGAAGAGTCGATGGGACAGTTAGAGGGTATGTGCTAAAACACAAAATCAGCTGTCTTTAATTTTATTTTTAGAAAGATTTTGGTAACTAGGTGTCTCAGGGCTGGGTTGGGGTCCAAGGTGTAAGGACCCCCTGCCCTTAGTGGAGAGTTGGAGCTTGGAGATACTAGCCCTTCTTCTTGGGAAGCTGCTTTGGTCCCTGGAAGCAGTAAGAGCTGGGAAGCTTCTTTTGACTCTAGGTGAGTTGTCATGAGGGTAAGTTGATACCTTGGGAGAAAGGGCCTCACAGGGCACAAAACTCACTCTAGGTTTATATTATATGTAGCTTATATTTTTTACTAAGATGTCACCTTATAAACATCTATAGATTGAATTCCTTTTCTTAGCTGTGTGGCCAGGCAGTCCCCTTTTTAGGAGTTGGCTTCTGCAAACCCCACTGAACTGTTGGGAAGCAATTTGGTGGTTCTAGACGTTTGCCAGGGAAGGAAGACGTCTGATTCTAAATGAGAGTTGATGCTCAGGTTCCCCAGCCAGGTTTGTATCCTGCCCTGAGACATGTAGGAAGCAACAGCCTTCCAAACCCAGGCTTTGAAAATTTCCAAAGCCACCGTGATTGAAGGGAAAAGATCATCCATATGATTCCAGGGATGCTCCTGGTCTGAGGTGTTGTTAAATTTAAAATTAAAAAAAAAAAAAAAAAAAAAAAGAAACCTCAGCAGCTTTAAAAAAAAATCTCTTATATCACAGCACATTTTTTTTAACTTGCCCCAATGGTATAAAAGTCTTTTGCTGAAATGATTTTTGTTCTATCTTGTTTATAAAGGATATATACAAACTTTGAATTTTGTGACTTTGTGAAGGTTTCTTTAAGATGTGCATTCCTTTCTGCTTGCTCTCTAGTAAATGTTTTACTACTGAGATCTGTGGATTGTCTGTCATTTCTACTTCACAAAGAGTTGGTGCATATTATTAATAAATAATGAAACGATGTAGCACATAGAAAAGACATATCTCCCACCACCCTGGTTTTATTCAGTAGGAAGGGGGAAGACTTGAGAGGCCCCTACAATGAATGCCGCCCCAACACCTAACCTCCCCTTATAGTTTAACATTGACTTTTTATTCAGTACCCTCACATTCTTCATGGAAGGATTGTGGGGTCTGTAAAGACATTTCAGCAGTGTTTTTGTGGGAGAATGCCCTTCAGGCAGGAGGACATCCTCCCATCTCACTGTCAGACAGCTGCAATTCAAGTGAGGGCGGGGCTGGTACTGAGGCAGAGTGGGCCATGCCACCATCTTTCCCCCTAGTCCTGACACTTCTCAGAGGCCTAGTACCTCTGCTCACTTCCGCTTGTGTTTTTTCTTTTGCTCCTTACGCTGCTGTGCTCTTTGGTCCTTCTTCATCCTTGAGTCCACCACCTTAAAATGGCCTCTAACTCCAGCTGGCCGGCGTACTTTGCGGCCCACACCTTTTTTGGCTACAACATAGGTGACTTGGCGCTTCTCCTTGCCAAGCCCAGCCTTCTTGTAGAGACTACAGAGGGGAGAGAACAGGTTAGGGACTTGCTTTCTGCTGCTTTAACCTTGTCCCCTTGTGGTGTCTTCCCCCATTACCTTCGCAGCTGTGCCACTTTCTCGCGTTCTGAGATGTCCACTGTGTTCACCACAGCTTCTGCCTTCTTCCTAGTCTGTTCCAGCTTTTTCAGCATCTGAGAGGGGACCTCAGTCAAGTGACCTCTTCCTCATCCCTGCCTCCCCCACCCACCATCTCAGGCAGCTACTTTCCCTCCCACTTACCCTCCTTTTCTTTCTGGCCTTGGCCTCCGCCACTTTCTTGATGGGACGAGCGTTGATTTCCCTCCAGCGCTTCCGGTAATGCTCTACCTCTTTCTTGTCAATAGGCAACTGCCGTATCCGATGCTGCTTTTCCTCCTGCACAAACCACTCTGGAAGCTCTCCCTCTTCCTCATTAAATGTATACCTGGGTGGAAAGGACACTAGCCCAATAACCAACCACTCCAGGCTTCCTGAAGAAGAAATCACCCACTTACCCACCACACTACCTGTTGAAGGAGTTATCTATGAGGTCTCTCTTGGCCTTTTTGGAAGAGGCAATAACAGCACCTAGAGCAAGGCCTTCAGCATCCAGTATCCGATGTTTCACTAGAGAGGGAAGGAGAAAAGTCAAAGCTCAATTCCCAATGCTGATAGTTCTGCTGGTCTCCTGTCCTTCCACTGCATGCAGAGCTCTCACCTGGGTCCTCGATAGGCACTATCTCAAACCCATCGTCATCTGACTTAGGCCCACGTCTGCGCTTCTTACCACGGGGTGCTTCCCAGCTGTGAAGAGGGAGGACTGTGAGTGAATATCCACTGTTCCCCCACCTCACCTCAACCTTGCTTCCTATTTACAGCCACTTAGGGAACCTGCAAAAATTCTGCCACTCTGGCCAAACCCCAGACCAGTTAAATCAGAATTATCAGTACAGTATTTTTAAAGCTCCTTATCTGCAGCCCAGGAAGAGAAATGTTTCAGGCCATTGTTTCCTCTTCATCTCTTCTCCTGTCAGCTGCAACCACTCACCTCTCTTCATCCTCACTGCTGCTGCTGTCACTGTCTGAGCTGCCATCTCTTTCTTTCCCTTCAGGGCCAGGGGCAGCTTCTGTCCCTGAAGAAGCCTCTGGCCCCTTAGGGGCCTCATCCTGGCACCGGGGAGACTTTTTCTCAGTCTTCAAACTGGAAGGTGGTGGTGGTGGCGGTGGCAGCTGCTGCTGTCCCTTCCGACGGCTCTCATACAACAGCTGGGCCTGACTGATCTCCAGGGCCTCATCTGCATCATCCTCAATCCCACTGAAGCCATCCTGGGGGTGGGGGTGGGAGGTCCTCAGCCACCCTCCATCCAGGGGATGGCAGCTTACTGTCAGTCTTGCCCCCACCCTCTTACCTTTGAGAACCACAGGGTGGCCTGTTCTTCCTGCAGCACTGCTTTTTCCTCCAGTGGTACCAGCAATGGATTCTCTTCTTCCTCTTCCTCTTTATCTTCCACTTCAGCATATCGCACTCTGTAGACCCAAAGGAAAGCAGGGGGAGGGCTCAGTGACCCTGTGTGCCTGGAGTCCTCGCTCCCCTAATCCCTCTGACAGTTCCCTCGCTGACTCTGCTGAAAAGGTGGTAGGTAGCACTCCCTCTCACGTGCACACCCACCCACCCCTTACCGCTTCTGGTCTTTTAGATCCGGATGTCCCCTGACTCCTGCCAGCTCCTCTGGATCCAGGTCACTATCCAGAGATGCATCATCATCATCCTCTTCAACATCTGATACATAGATGTCATCTCTTGACAGATCAGACAGGAGTGTGTCTGCAGCACTCATATCCCCTTTTGTTACTTCCTCTAACAACTGAAGTTTAACAGACACAAAGATCAAGTATTTAAAGGGAACATCCTGCTTTTTTTCCATATGTCTGTTATCTATCCTCAGCAATGCTAGGAAGTAAATGTGGCAAATACATCATCTCCTTTTACAGACAGGGAAGCTTAGACCCAGGGAAGTGAGCCAGGCTGGAGTGCAGTGGCACAGTCAGCTCACTGCAGCCTTGAACTCCTGGGCTCAAATAAACCTCCCATCTCTGACTCTCAAGTAGCTAGGACTACAGGTGTGCACCACCATGCCCAACTAATTATTTTTTGTAGAGGTGGGATCTTACTATGTTGCCCAGGCTAGCCTCAAACTCTTGGCCTCAAGCTGTCCTCCTGCCTCGGCTTCCCAAAGTACTGGGATTAAAGGTATGAGCCACTGCACCTGACTGAGGGCCACTATGTTCTAATGCTTCTCTTGTACAACAAAGATAAGGTGGTTATGACGTCTCCACGTAAGAGCCATGAAAGCTCATTTTGCTTGTGTCACTGCTTTTATCATGAAAAGCATGTTCTCTAGTATTCAGCAGGAGTAAGTAACCTAATGTGAAGTGCTAACTTAGTCTCAGTGAACTGAAGAATGTTGCTCTCCCCTCCAAGGGAAACCCTCTATTCACTGTACTTGTAACCCAAGTATCCTGGCTGCATCTACCAAAACCTAAACTCTTGGTCCTGATGCTCTAGTTCTACAGGATAAACCTATTACTTGTATATCTTCCTAATTTCATCCTTTTAGGTATATGTTTCTTTTCGGCCTTTGAGTCATGAGGCTCTTATTTTTTCCCCAGTCTCCCTGAGCCAAGTCATGTCATGGGTGAAGACAGAACTGCAGCCCATCATCGTTGAGCACACTTTAAAAGACATCCAACACCCCCACCTCCAAACACCCAAGCAGATCCTCCCGTCTCCTCAATCTGCACCCCAGCCCTACCTTACCTGGTGACCCCGGATGGTGCGCAGGGAGAACATGCCAGTCTCCCCCTCATCTGCAATGGAAACCCCTGGCAGATCCATCTTCAGCTCCACACGCTCCCGCTGTTTTCTCTGCTCACGCAGCAGCTTCTTTTTCTTCCTGAGGGGATGGATTGAGGGAATAGAGCTGCCAAGCTCAAACTCCCTATCCACACCTTTCATTTTCTTCTCCCATCTTCACACGCTCAGGAAATCTGTGTGGGGGTTCCCCAAGCTCCCCCCAAATCCCCTCACCTCTTTAATTCCGCCACCTCCTGGGCCTTCATCTCTGCCAGGGTCTGGTTCAGTTGTTCCTCCTCCTCCTCTTCTTTAGACAGTTGCCTTACGGTCCCAGCTGTTGACTCTTCCTCATCACCTTCTTCTTCCTCTCCTGAGCTGAGGCTGGCAAAATAGTCCAAAGGAGTTCGGTTATTTTCCCAGACACTTCTCCTGATATCCAGTCGACACCTGCCCTGGTTTCATTCCCTTCTCACCTGATGTCCAGTGCTTTTGCTTGCTCTTTCAGCTTCTTGGCCACATGTCGCCGAAGCTTTGTTCTCCAGTTCAGTAGGGACCTGCCCCGAAAATACTAATATTGATCTTGACTTTTCCCTCTTTGTCCCTCCCCCCTTCTCTGCCTTAGGTGGATCCTACAAATATTAAACTTCAGCCACATAAATCCTAAGTTCCACAGGGCCCCACCCCAAACCTCCAGCACAGCAGCATCCTGTATCCAGAGATCCAACATCATGGCCGTCAATGGCCGTCAGGGCTCCTGGCCCCTACACTCTCCACATCACATACCTGAGCTCCTTTCGCCCCAGCACTTTGATGTCCTGACAGCATGCCCGTATGTCCTCAGTGGTAGCTGGATGCTGGGCCAACTCTTCATCATCTAACAAGATCTGTTTGGGAGGAGGGAAGTGTGTCAGGGAATATTCTCAGGCCATGTTTCTGGGGCCCCCTTACAACCCTCAAACCTAGAGACTCACTTCGCTGGCCTTGGAGAGGAAGTCAACAGGGTTGGCAGCTCGAAGGAAGTCAGTGACTGAGGTTCGGTGATACAGAGTGAGGTCACCATCAGCATAGCCTTCAGCCTTGCGGAAGGAAATAAGGTTGGGCAGTCCCTTCTAGGGAACATAAGACCCACCAGGCCCAATCTCTCCAAAGTTCCAGGATCTGAACGTGGCCCCATTCCCCTAACATACCTTTGGTTTTTTCTTAGTCACCAACTCAGTAACAGTCTTTGCCTGAACCTCAACTTCCTTGAAAGCAAATTTGGGGTCAAAGAATTTGCTATCAACCTTGTCAGGAGCCAAGAATCCTAAAATGATAGGATGTATCAAAAAGTGTGCTTTGGCAGTTGGGAGACTGAGTCAAGAGAAGGAAGTGATGCCCACCCTGGCAGATGACAAAGATCTCTGCAGATTCATGGCGAGAGGCTTGGGGCTTGGTGGCCTGGACACGGTGGAACAGTTGCTGAAAGATCCACAGGAGGGGCTGATAGTCACGGGAACGGAAAACCTTTGTGATGAAGCAGCCACCACGGGCCAAAAAATCACAAGCCAAACGCAGAGCCATCAGTGTCAAATGAGCTGCGGGGTAGAAATAGTCAGCTGAGGACCTCTGCGGCCTGATAGGGCATGCCCACCTCCACCCCCAACTCCTCTCCAAGCCCCACACTCCCTGCACCTTGTGAGTAAGCATCATGGACCCAGCTAGCCCCAACATTGGGAGCCCCATCATTGAGCACGACATCAACTTTCCAGGTCTTCAGCTCCTTCCTCAGGGCCTACAGAAAAGGAAAGGGATTATGGCAACAGAAAAACAAGAATGATTAAATATTGCCCTTGTTCAGCCATTTGTCTAGTCATTTGTTGAGTGCCCATGATGTGCCAAATCCTATGTCAAGCACAGGGGACACAACAGTAAAAAACAAAAAAATACATCCCTGTCTTCATAGAGCTTACAGTCTAACAGTGTGTCCACTGGAAAGTATCTCATTCAAGATCTCTTCCCTTCCCCCAATTCCAAACATCTTCATTCCTGACTCTAAAGAAAGGCTGGAGTTACCACTAAGGCCTTGTTACACAGATGTCACGCAGGAACTTGCTCAAAGCATGGTAAGTAGGAAAAATACCACCTTTAGAGGATTTGGGGATGTCGATGTTTGCATATAAAGGGAGTAAGAAAAGAGAAACTCCTATTACCTGCCTACAGCGTTCTGTTGTGATGTCCTCCTGGAGAGTCACCACATTGGGGAGAGGCTTGATTGGAACCAGGTCCACTCCTGGAAGAAATCAGGTCAGACAGTATTCTAAAGCGTTGCCTCATGCAAGGAGGAGGGAAATATAGGACAAAATTAGTACCTCATGCATCCACCTCAGAAAACACCCAGGAGAGCTGCCTGTCACTCACCCACAATAAGACTGGATACAGGCATAAACTTGGCAGCCACCTGCAGCCTACAAAAGGAATAAAGATTAAAATACTGAGGATTTTCCCTTTCCATCCCTTAGCAGTGTGATCTCTCATCCCTGTTGTTAGGTGCCTACGCAAACTGCAGTGGCCAGAGCATATCCTATGTTCATATTCCAAACCTTTTCTTTGCAATCAAGAAAAGAAACAGCCCCCAAAGTTTAGGAAAGACCTATGCTCTTGGATGGAGAGAAATCTGAGGCTGAGATTACTGTACTAGGGAGGGAAATCCCGAATCCCACCGCCCTCCAACAAAACTCTTAAGCCATCCAGGGTCAGAACCCAGAAAGCTGCCATCAGAACAATCTCTGCGAAGTGTTTCTCACCATCCCCCTGGCGCAGCACAGAGGTCCAGCAAGGCTCGGGCTTTCTGCAGGAACTGAAAGCGGCGATTGAGCTGGATTAGCTTGAAAGCAGAGCGGGAACGGTAACCTGGGGGTGACGACAGAGTCCGCGGAGTGCTTTAGAAGCAGGGTTTCTCGGGCCTCACAACCCACCACCCTTTCTGCGGAAGAGGAACCCAATATCTGGGGAATGGAGGCGCACCAGAGAAAGATCGGTCGCTCGCAGACGGAGCGAACCCTCTACTCACCCGTCTCCTTAGCCAAGTGATAAAACTTGTCCCGTCGGCTCTTGCCAACTTTGCCCTTCTTGCCCATGCTGGAATGGGGGAGTGTCACTCAACCTGGGAAGAAGGTAAAGGTTGGGAACGTCTCTTTCTAGAGCACTAAATTCTGCTTTCTTTTTCCCACTTCGCGCAGCAATCCCACTCTGCCTTGCTCCCCACAGTCACCTAGACCTAGCGCCGTTTTCGCCACTCTTGCAGCGGCACATGGAGGCAACAAGCGTACTTCCGTTTCCGCCCCTGGCTCCAATGTTTCCGTTTTCCGCCATTTTGAGTGTGGCCATGGATTATCTGTACGGTCTGTCCCCCAGGTTTTATAAATTGAACGTTGGGATCAGGAGGCAGATTACAAGAATTAAAAACCAAGTTTCTAAGAAGCAACACTTAGGAATTATATTCCCTTTCTTTCCCTTCCTAAACTCCTGAACTCAAGTAGCCGCCCCTCCCATCATGGCCCCGCGCATTTATTGTGGTCTTGGCGCCACCCCGCCCATTGACCCGGAACTCTTCTCTGCCTTGGGCTTCAGGCCACAAGCCGCTGCTTCCGCGCCTGCGCGCCAAGGCAGCTCGGATGCCGGCGGTCTCCGCTGGAGGGAAGATGGCGCTTGACGGACCGGAGCAGGTATGGCGGGGGCGGCGGCGGCGGCGGCTGCGCCTGGGCGGGAACCGGGGATGGATGCGGAGCGGACGTGATTAGAGGTGGGCAGCGAGCCGGGACAAGGGGGTCTCGTGGGTGGGGGGGTAGGTGAGCCAATCCAGACTGGCCCTGCCTGAGGCCGGATCTGCTGTGTCAGCGCCGCCCCCGGTGAGTCAGGGCAGGGCTGGGAGAGGAAGATTCGGTAGAAGCGGAGTCAGTGAGTGAGAGGAGCGATGGGAGCGGGAACGGGCCTCTCCGCGAGCCGTCGTCCTTCCTACTGACTGGCTCGGTCGGTAGTAATAACATCTCGGGTTTGTATGGCGTTTGCCACAGTGCAAAGCGCCTCGCGTATAGTGTCTCTTGATCCTCCTGAAAGTCCTGTGAGGTAGGCGGCGTTCTCGTTCTTTTATTTTAGTCATAGGAAAATGGAGGGTTCGAAGGGGGGAAGAAGGGATTAGAACCCAGGTCTTAAGCCTCCGAAGCCCAAACTCTTTACTAGACAAAGCTGCCAGGTATTAACCCTTACGGTGAAGTTCCCTGGAAGTGGCTTTTCCCTTGAATGTCTAGCCTGTTGTTTAATAATTATCTTGTGTCTTCAGATGGAGCTGGAAGAGGGGAAGGCAGGCAGTGGACTTCGTCAATATTATCTGTCCAAGATTGAAGAACTCCAGGTGAGGACATACTCGAGAAGGAGCTAGAAAGCGAGGTCTGAGAATCGATGGAAGCAAACGGGATTGCAGTGCAAGCTTATTCTTTTCCTCTGTCTTTTTAGTTAGAAAAGTGTATGTATAATAAATAATAAGCAATATAAAATATATGAAGTTATTCTCTTGTTCTCCTCAAATCCCACTCCTTGAGGGTGATAACGTTCAGTTTGTTACACATCTTCAGGAGTCAGATTTTAGTAGATTAGCTATCTCTAAGCCAAAGGCCATCCCTTTTAGAAGCCTGAACGAAAAGGTTACTTAATAAAGGGAAGACATGCTCAGGAGATGAGGTTTATCAGAAAGGGGTTGGGGCAGGGTGCAATTAGAGTGTAAGGAAGAGTGGCATTGAGTGAAAGGAATTGGGCCACCCAGTGCTCTAGCCTAAAGAGCTAAGCCATAGAAATAAGGGACCAGAGCAATAAGAAAAATAATTACAGTTTCCCCTTGAACAACAATGGGTTTGAACTGTGAGGGTCCACTTATATGCAGATATTTTTTCTTTTCTTTTTAGACATAGTCTCACTTTGTTGCCCAGGCTAGAATGAGTGCCGTGGCATCAGCCTAGCTCACAGCAACCTCAAACTCCTGGGCTCAAGTGATCCTACTGCCCTCATCCTCCTAGGTAGCTGGGACTACAGGCATGCGCCACCATGCCCGGCTAATTTTTTTGTTTATATATATTTTTAGTTGGTCAATTCATTTCTTATTATTTTTAGTGGAGACGGGGTTTCACTCTCGGTCAGGCTGGTTTCGAACTCCTGACCTCAAGCGATATGCTCGCCTCGGCCTCCCAGATTGCTAGGATTACAGGCGTGAGCCACCACACCCAGCTCATTTTTTTCAATAAATATATTAGAAAACTTTTTAGAAATTTGCAAGTTTGAAAAAACTCAAAACAGTGTAGCCAAGAAATATCAAAAAAATTAAGGAAAAGTTAATCATGTCTTGAATGCATGAACTATATGTGGATATTAGCCTATTTATGTGTTAACTGGTCAATAGTAGGGTATTAGTAGTTAAGTTTTGGGGGAGTCAAAATTTCTATGTGGATTTTCAACTTCATCCCTAACCCCCACATTGTTCAGGGGTCAGCTGTAGTATAAATTGGATGGGGAAAGCCACAAGGAAAAATTCTGAACTCTACTGTTGATTGCAGGTATTATATTTGGTTTGCCATTTTTGAATGTTTTTACATGTGATTTCTTTTGTTCATCCTAATAGTCCTGGAAAGAATTAGGTGTAGCTGATTCTACACCCTTGTGTATTTTGGTAACAGACCTAGATTTTTAAAAATGGCTTGCTTCAAAGCAGAAGTCTCAGGTTAAGAAAAAAAAAAAAAAAAGTGAAAAAAATAAAAATAAAAATGGCTTGCTTTAGCTTCGTCTCGGTTTTAATTGACAGCAGCTAGGCTAGAACTCAGGCTCCTAATCTAAAGATCTTTCTGCTATATTATCTTCCCACAAGAAAGTCACTGTTACATGAACCAGCTGTAACTTTTCTCCCTTAGATTGTTACTCTTAGACCAGTATTAGTCACACACAGCCTTTCTTGCTGGCTACCCTAGGTTTCAGAGGGGTTCTTGGCGGACAGGCCAGGATCATTAGGATCATACTGGAGAATCTGAAACAACATGCAGGTGCTCTGTGCCCTTTCCTCACTCATACCTGCCTGTCAGGGTCTTGGTGAAGATCTTGCCTTCTACTATATTCTGCCCTTGGGTAATGGTATTTGTCTCTTGTCCTCCACAGCTGATTGTGAATGATAAGAGCCAAAACCTCCGGAGGCTGCAGGCACAGAGAAATGAGCTAAATGCAAAAGGTGACGGGAAAGATGGGAAACTGCATGTGGGCAGTTAGAGGTGTGACTGTTGGTAATCTCCCTGCATTATCTTCAGAGCTGTGCTTAGTGTTTTCTCCCAGTCAGAGATGATGCTTCCCACTGTCATTCGGTTATTTCACTTGCATATCTCTCCCGTGCTCCAATACAACTCCCTTAAAAACATGAACTTTGGCCTTTGTGTGTGTATTCCCTTCAAAGTGGTGCTTAGTTCATACATGTTGAATTGTGTCCTGGGAAGGGGGACACCAAGGGAGAAGCTAGGTGACCACTGTCTGTTTGCCTTCTAGTTCGCCTGTTGCGGGAGGAGCTACAGCTGCTGCAGGAACAGGGTTCCTATGTAGGGGAAGTAGTTCGAGCCATGGATAAGAAGAAAGTGTTAGTCAAGGTAAAAGCAGCATGGCCCCAGGGACTGGCCCATTCCTCACTGTGTTCCTAGCCCTTTGTGTGTGGCCTTGGAGGACAATATTCTGTCATGTTGTTACGGGATTCTCATGGGTCTTTCTGGGTGGGGTTGGTGATTTGGTGGCTGTCAGGGAAAGTCATGAGCTCTTGTTTCTGTAGGTGCATCCTGAGGGCAAGTTTGTCGTAGATGTAGACAAGAACATTGACATCAATGATGTGAGTAGCAGGTGAGGTGGGGGGGTTGGGGTCAGCTCTTATTGTACTATTTCTGAAACTTGCCTCCTTTGCCCAGGTGACACCCAATTGCCGAGTGGCTCTAAGAAATGACAGCTACACTCTGCACAAGATCCTACCCAACAAGGTGGACCCACTGGTGTCACTGATGATGGTGGAGAAAGTGCCAGACTCAACTTACGAGATGATTGGTGGATTGGACAAGCAGATCAAGGAGATCAAAGAAGTGATTGAGCTGCCTGTTAAGCATCCTGAGCTCTTTGAAGCACTGGGCATTGCACAGCCCAAGGTAAGGAGCAGGCTTCTCTGGGAGGACCTGCTGTACTTATTCCTCCTGCCCCAGGCCAGGCCGTGTGTGGGGGGGTGTTGGGATAGGCTGCAGCCTGTTTGGGTGGGCCCTTCCCACTGAACGGCGGGGTGGGAGGGGATGTTTCCAGGGTATTGAGGTGGTTTAAGATATAAGCTTCAGAAGGGACTCTGTTCATTTTTCCCGTCCCTAGCATCTAGCAAGGGATCCAGCATAAAGCCAGCACTCGGTTAATGTTCACTGAATGAAATGAGGGCCCAGCTTTCTGCCCTGAGTCTGCTGTTCCCCTCTAGGGAGTGCTGCTGTATGGACCCCCAGGCACTGGGAAGACACTGCTGGCCCGGGCTGTGGCTCATCATACGGACTGTACCTTCATTCGTGTCTCTGGCTCTGAACTGGTACAGAAATTCATCGGGGAAGGTAACCGTGGCTTGGAATGTGAGAACCAAATGGAAAGGGGTGTGAGGAGCTAGCTTATCAGCTCCCTAACACTAGCTCGGCCTCTGCACAGGGGCGAGAATGGTGAGGGAGCTGTTTGTCATGGCGCGAGAACATGCTCCATCTATCATCTTCATGGATGAAATTGACTCCATTGGCTCCTCGAGGCTGGAAGGGGGTTCTGGAGGGGACAGTGAAGTGCAGCGCACAATGCTGGAGCTACTTAACCAACTGGATGGCTTTGAGGCCACCAAGAATATCAAGGTGAGGGGGGTATCAGCCTCAGGTTGAGCCAAGGGAAGGAAGGCCCTGGCTGAGGTAGAGCTTAGCTGATTCCTCTCTTTTCTCCACTCAGGTTATCATGGCTACTAATAGAATTGATATCCTGGATTCAGCGCTGCTTCGCCCAGGGCGCATCGACAGAAAAATTGAATTCCCACCCCCCAATGAGGAGGTTTGTGATGGGCAGTGCTCAGAGTGACTCTGACTATGGGGGTAGGGTATATGGCTCAGGCCTTTCCTCTCCCATCTCCAGGCCCGACTGGACATTCTGAAGATCCATTCTCGGAAAATGAACCTGACCCGGGGGATCAACCTGAGAAAAATTGCTGAGCTCATGCCTGGAGCATCAGGAGCTGAAGTGAAGGTAGTTGGAGCTGGTAGCAAAGGTTCAAGGGCCACGCTCAGGGTTGAGGGGGCACAACAATAGGGCCTTAACAACTTCCTTTTCCTGCTCAGGGTGTGTGCACAGAAGCTGGCATGTATGCCTTGCGGGAACGGCGAGTTCATGTCACCCAGGAGGACTTTGAGATGGCAGTAGCCAAGGTACTTATCTCCCTCTTTCTACCTCTGCTGATGGTGGCTCTGGAGCAGTGGGCTAGGGCCTGTGTTCACCCACTTCATAACTTAATGCTTGCTCTCTTTCCAGGTCATGCAGAAGGATAGCGAGAAAAACATGTCCATCAAGAAACTATGGAAGTGAGCAGACGTCTTTTGTGTGGATCCCTCAAATAAAGCTGTGGGACAAGCCCTCTAGGACTCCAGTCTGTTACCGGAGTGGCCATACTGTTCAATGACCAGGTCTGAGCACCACCAGTAAACAAAAAAGGATTTATTTGGGAGTTTCCAAACCTGCCAGAAGTGGCATTTGCCAAGCCCCAAAGGGCAACAACAATCTTCCCAGCCCCACTTCCTGTGCCCTCCACCATGCACACACCCATACCTCAGGCCATGCTAGAGAACTGCAGTGTCCCCTCTAGGAGGCTTTACCCCCTCAGGCCGAAGTATCTGGGGAGGCAGCCCTCTGGCATCCCAGGAGATGATGGCGGCCAAAGCCGCTTGCATAGATTGAGGAAAGAAATAAGGAGGCACCAAACAGGGCTCCATGAAAAACCCCAACTTACCCCTGTATAAAAAAGTGGCTCCCACATAGAAAAATTTGCTCCCCAAATAGTGCAAATACCCAAAGGAAAAAACCAGCAGCAAGGCTGGGTTTGTAGGAATGGCAAAGAACTTTGGTTTAGAAAGGCTAGGAAGAGTCTGGGCTGTGCCACCACTGCCTCACCCAGCTCCAACACTCTCCCCAGAGGGAAGTCTGTAAACATGCAAACCCAGCCGCCTTTGGTTCAAAAATGTCTCAGTTACAAAGTCAAAGCATATAGCCTCCAGCAGTCCTACTTGGGCCCACCTGCTGGGGGCAGAGGTGGCATCATCTGGTAAGAACCCCATTAAAGCCAACGCGAAAAGTAAGTAATAAGGCTTTGGGGACCAAGCAATAAGGAATCCTATCACTACTTTTGTGAAACTAATGCTGGGAGTAGAGGGTGACAGCAGACACCCCTCACCCCATCCTACGTGTCTGCAGCCTCAGCCAAGACCCAGAGAGGGCTCTGCTTCCAGGCTCCAGGGCTAGGAAGAAAGGAAGCGATCCCTGAGCAGTTAGGTTAGGCGAATCCCCAGCACCTGTTCCAGTTCCTGCCTTCGCTGCTGCACCTAGAGAAGGAAGAGACCAGAGGCTCAGGTCTCTGCGACTCACAACCAAAAGAGGGCGAACCAGGACAGAGCCTCACCTTGGCAAAGATATGCCTCCCCACTGCTTCCTGGGCCCAGGGTTGGTGGTAGAAAGCAGCTCGTCTCTCCTCCTCAGGATTTCCAATCACATCAGTGATGATCTGCAAAGAGCCAGGAGAAAAGCTGTAGCAAAATTCCTACCCCTGAGCCAATCTGCCCCTGGAACTGGAACAATAGTGCTTGGGTATAAAAAAGCCATCCAATGTTTCACATGGGATTCCCCCTTCAAGAAAGAGGACTGCACCTTCAGGTCTCGGCGCTGGGAACGGAGCCATTCCTGGATGAAGTCCTGGGGGTCTGTGCTAAAGCTGAGCATGAAATCCCTCTGGGTCTTCAACTGGTTGATGGACTCAATGGTCTCATGGATCTGGGGAGGGGTGCATGAGTCATACTGGGCCCCTGGTATGCTCCCAGGCCTAAACCCAAAGGACTGAGCCAGAGATGCCATCCCCAAGGTGCTACATGTTTGGAGTGTCTGACAGGGCCAGCCCACCCCCATCCTGAGCCCCAGAGGGGGGGGAGTGACGGCTCACCTTGACATCAAGGGAGGCAATCTCCTGCTGATTGGTGGTAGAGGCCAGAAAATTGCTCATCTGGGCCTTTAGTGGGTCATCAACCTCCACATCAATATCATAACATGCTGTCTTCTTCTGGTCATTGGGGTCCACACTGCAGGCAGCACACAGCAAGGGAAGGGGAAGTACATATGTCTTCATCCCACCCACCTGGGCCCCATTCTGTGTACACAGGGAGCAAGAAACCAACTGCTGCTTCTCTCTTTGGCTTTGGTTCAAGCCAAGGATGAATCTGCTCTTCGATGAGCCTTCCCATCCCCCACCTTCCATTTACCTAATGACATGGTTGATGACAATGGGGTCTGGATGCTGCAGCAACCCAGCCAGCTTCATGGGAATCTCAGAGAAACGGAGTCGGCCACAACTAAAGATCTGGAGAGAGTACCAAAGGCTCGATGATGCCTTTGAGGGCATGGGGGATGTGAACCATTCTACGGCCAGTAAGGGCAGCAGTCTGAAGACTGTGGCCAAGAACTAGCCCAGCAGGGGCTGAGAGAACAGAGGAAGGCATCTGGCTAACCTGGCGGAAGTAACGGTTGCAATTGATGTACTCTCGCTCATGCCCATCTTGCAGCTGGTTGTGTTTGATGTAAAGCCACAGGGCCTGCATGATGGCGGCCCGTGTCTGTGTATGCACTCCCAGCAGCCTCGCTAGTCGGGGGTCCAGTTTGTACTGGGGTGGCTGGAGATGGACACAGGAAAGTCAGAGGATGGGTTCTTGTGAAGAAGCAAAGCAGGAAAATAGGGCAGGGACAGGAAGGGTTTCTAGAAAGGAATCTGCTCCCCTCCCCCAGATGAGTCCTTGTGGACCCAGACATGACACCAGGGCATGTCACCTGATGATCCAGCATGAGCAGGAGGGTGCACTTGACATTGAGGTCTCCAGGCCGTTTTACCTGGAAGCCATCTGTCTCCTGGGTGGTGGGCATCCGGTGCCACTGGTGAGGAGGAGGGGAGCAGAGCTTATCACCAAGGGAGGAGGCATAAACACATGGCCCTCCAAGGGGACTGAGGCCGTTTCTCCACCCAACCAGCACATCAGCCTGTGCTTGGTGTCCTCAGGCAGCTTGTTCTCCCCTTGCCCCAGGTCCATGCTCACCTCCACCAGGTGATTGTCAGGCCCGTACAGTTCCTTGTCCAGCTCAATGACGAGGCTCTTAAAGAATGAAGAAAACTTCCTCTTCTGTTTGCTAGGCTAGGAATAGAAAGGGGTGTGATATGGTGCTTCTGCAAGCTCTCAAACCTAAAGCTGCTAAAACTATGCTAACTCCTCCAAAAAGAGAATTGTTTCAACCCTGGAGCTCAGGGAACTGAGCATATGTAGGCCCTGGAGAAAGCAGTCAAACTCTGGGCAAAGAGGTTGGAGGCAGGGAAAAGATTCTCTATGCAGCCCCCTGCCAGCCAGCAAGGGACTTCAAGATACTCGACTGCCATCCACAGGAACACTGTTGTAAAAAACCACACAAATCAACCTCTGGCTGGGAGTTGTGGCAAGCAGGACCCTCTCCCTGGGGCAGCACCTCCAGGGAGTACACAAGTATCTGGTCTATCTTAAACCTGCACAGACCTCCTGCCACCTCCCTCCCCAACTCACATCATCTAGCAGTTTTCCTTCCACTCGGAGTTCCCAGGAAGCCACCTTGTCCCCTGCCGGGGTTCCCCCAGGGGTCCCTGTAGTTCCTGCACTATCGCCTTCTGCCTTGCTGGGGCTGAACGTATTGGAAATGTAGATCCGAAGTTTTCGCTTTTGCTAGAGAGAGAATGACAACTAGAGGTGGAACAAAACATTGGAAAACAATGCTACCCAATCTTCCCGTATGACATCATTCGACAGTCAATATCAAGCATATGTGACTTGCACCTTGTTAGGCACTGGGAATTGGAAGTATCAATAGTAGATCCCAGCCCTGGCCCTAAAGAATTCACAATTTATGGGGGAAACAGATGCATCAACCACAATGCTAACAGTGGGATCAGTGGTATGGCTTGACAGATACACAGGCAGAGCGCTACCAGGCAAATCGGAAACCTCTGGCTCAGACTTTAAATGAAACCCAAACACCCCAACACATCATGGCCCCAAAATATCCTAGTCTCCTGGAAAGACTTCACCACTCTGGTGACTGTTCTAGATTATCATTAGGAAAATAAAAACCCCAGGGATGGGGAAGGAGAAAGGAACTACTTTTATCTGCCCTCTAGTGGTTTTCAAACTTGACCACAATCTGTAAGATTTACATTTTAAATTATGACCCAGGATCCGCATACATATATAAATACCTGAAATAAAAAGTTCATTAAAAAATACATTCATTACTATGGTAAATACTACTGTGAAGTACGTTTCTATTTTCTATTCATTTAAAACATACTGGCTGCAACAACACATTAAATTGAGTTAATGCTCTATCAACGGGCTACATCCTGTATGTGAAAAATCTTGCTCTAGCCCAACACCGACCCTCATTTGGCCCCTGGAAAATGAGCCAGGGAGGGGAGAGAAGTTTGGAAAGGCCAGAGATGGTCAGGGCTCCACACACCGTCAGAGGCTTTTTGATGGCCTCCTGGATCTCCATCCGCTTGCGAGCAATGGTCTGGTCCAGCTTCCGCTCAAAAGCCAAGAGATCCATGTATGCCTGAGACTCTGGGACAAGCTCCCGGATCTGGAGGAAGGGAGAAGGAATTCAGCTTGCTTCAGCTACCTCTCTGCCTCCTTCTTCCCTTCCTCCCTCCTTCCAGGGTTGGGCGAGGTGGACTCCCATCCCCAGCCAGCTACTGGGCAGGCCTCCTGGATCTCCTACTAGCACTTACTCGCTGAGGTAGAACCTTATCTGCCATCTTCCTCCTCTTTAACCTGGAGAGGACAGAAACCCACGTAAGAGGTCAATAGTCTAAAGGACACTCACCCCCCCATCCACCCCTTCAGTCCCCAGGACCCTCCCCAAAGAGTGCCAGGAGTTTTCCTCAGTCATAGAAGCCCTTAGGATAGAAGGAAACCCTCTGCTACAACCAGAGCTGGGCCAGGTAGGGTGGGAGAAACGGGATGGTCTTACCCCCGGCGCTGGGTGGGCATCGGGGGCTGGGCCTGGGGCACAAGCAGGCGTTTTCGGAATGGATCCATCATGGTGGGTGGCATGCCAGGTCGAAGTGGAGCAGCTGTGCCAAACGGGGAGCCAGCAGGGGATCCCACCTGCAAGCCAGCCATGGGCATCCGGCTCCCTGGTGACATGCCAGGCCGCTGGGGGAAGTGAGCCAATGGGGGTGCATAGGTCAAGGGCAGGGCCCTCCGGGGCCCATAGCCCATGCCTTCCATCCCTCTCCTCAGCCAGGTCCAGCCCTAAGCAGCACACCACAGAGCCTGCTGGAGTGCCAGGAACAAAGGGGAGCGGGCGCCTGAGCACAGAGTGTAAACCACACCTGCCCCGCCCCCTGCAGCCGCCCTGGCAGCCGTGCCAGCAAATGAGGCCTGCCAGAGCCTGGGGGTGGGCGGAGAGTCCTGCCTGCAGAGGGAAGGGCCTGGGAGAGCTTTTCAGGGCCCAGAACAGCCTCCTAGCCCCAGCGTGCTGTCCCCCTGCTCCCCACGACCAGCTGACCTTGAGGCACTCCTGAGGCTCTCAGATGGCCCTGCCCTCCTCCTGCCTCCACTGTGAGGAGAAGCGCTGCATGGGGGCCAGTGTCACAGCCAAACAGAGGGGTGTAGCACGATATAAGTGGCTGATAGCGCAGAGTCCTAATCCCCATCCCCTGTCGCCAGCCTGGTATGTGACTGGGGGAGAAAGGCAGCCCAGTGGGCCACAAGCCCATCAGACAGCAGCACCCCAGGTGAGCGAGCTGCAACAGGATGGCTTGGAACATGTCCCAGCTGGTGGGGGTGGCCTCAGATAGAGTACAGAGACCTTCTGGTCACCATATGGCCCTTACCCACAACCCAGAATGATCCTTCTCTCTCGCCTCCCTGCTGCCCAACCACTGCCCCTGTGCCAGAAGACCCTGAAAGGGAAGCTATGGCTCCTGGGTGGCCTGAGAGAGAGCGTGCGAGAGAACACTGGCACCTGGATTTTGCCGTGGTCCAGGCATCACCTGGCAGCCGGGACTGGCTCAGGCTCCGTCTAGCCCTATAGCAATCCCAAGCTGGAGAATGGGGATAAAATTATCCTGGGATGTAAGGATAAGAGTCACAGGGACAGCAGCAGGAATCTGGGTAACAGATATAGCTTCTTTTTTTTTTTTTTTTTTTTGATACAGAGTCTCACTTTGTTGTCCAGGCTAGAGTGAGTGCTGTGGCGTCAGCCTAGCTCACAGCAACCTCAAACTCCTGGGCTCAAGCGATCCTCCTGCCTCAGCCTCCCGAGTAGCTGGGACTACAGGCATGCGCTACCATGCCCGGCTAATTTTATATATATATATCAGTTGGCCAATTAATTTCTTTCTATTTATAGTAGAGACGGGGTCTCGCTCTTGCTCAGGCTGGTTTTGAACTCCTGACCTTGAGCAATCCGCCCGCCTCGGCCTCCCAAGAGCTAGGATTACAGGCGTGAGCCACAGCGCCCGGCCTCAGATATAGCTTCTTTTGATGCCTTCAGAAGGATTTCCCAGTGAGGCCCAGCTCCCAATACTCCCGTGGAGCCCATCTGGAAGTAACCTCTGCCCTCCATCACCTTCGCCATGGCTGCTGCCTGCAAGGCCTGTTTGGCAGCTCTGCCTCGCACACACTGTCCCTGGCAGCTTCACAGGGCTGGCCCCAGGGCCCAGATTATGCAACCAGCACAACCAGCCAACCAAGCCAGGCTGGGTGGAGACTCGCACCAAATCAGAGGAGCCTCCCCCACCCCAGCATCACGGAGAGAAGATTCTTCCCCCATCACTTCATCTAGCACTAAACCCATGCTCCCATCTCGGAGGGTCAGATTCTTGACCAGATGCAGAGATCGAAAGAAACACAACCCAGAGACCTGAGGAGAAGGGTGGAGGGAAGCACTTGGGAGGATGAAGAGTTCAAAATAGGGGTTCTGGGGCCCACGAAGTCCTGCCACAGGTCTCTCCCCATCAGGAAAAGATTCATCCAAGCTGCTGAAAGGCAAAAGACAGCCTGTTTCTCTGCCTTAATAAGCCATGGCCAGAGATTCTAGGAAAAAAACTCAGTGTAGCCACAGCTGTAAGCCCAAGCCCGCAGACACCCCAGACTTGAGTTTTCCCCAGTGCCTGAGACAAACAGGAGGAACCGCTGAAAGAGTATGAATTGGGGCCCTGTGGTCCCCACCAAGCTACACCCTGGGGCCTTGACAAAAACTGCAGCACCACCCACATCTCCTGGGCAGGTGCTCCAGTAACAGGAAGTCCCAACACAAGGCAGCACAGACGGGCAGGCCCTGGAATAGGCCCCACCCAGACATCTGCTGCAGACTTCCCAGGCTGAGAGCCCCCAGCTCACCCAGGGCCCCCGGGGAAGGCTGCTCACAGCTCATCAAGTCCCAGTTTAGCCTCGCCAAGCTCTACACCTGGGCTGTAGCACCAGTAACTAACTCCTCCCCTTCAAAAAAAAAAACACACAACTCAGGAGTTTTAATAAAAACAACCCCACAGCCCAGAATTCTCAGCCTCTCCAACTCCCTGCCTGCTGCAGGACTAGGTAGGCCTGGCTCAGTCCCCTGAACCCCAGAAACAGGCAGCAACCTCCTCTCCCTTGGCTCAGCAGCAGCCTATAATCTAAGCTGGTTTCTAACAACACTCAGGAGAGCAGGGCAACAGCTGGGGCTATGCTGCAGCCTCCAAGTGAGGCATCTAGGACTCAGGTGAGCATGCTCTTCCCCGGCCCCAAAGCCCCTGGTGGTTGGGGCTAAGGACCTCAACTGGAGGAGAACATACCACCCCCTCCCTCATGAGAAAGTATTTTGAATTCTCTGGCTTGAACCCACTAATCTGTGGTTTTGGGTTTTTTCCAGTTTTTTGTTTTTCTAAGCTCCACAGGTAACTGCGATCAACAGCTAAAATCTGTCTGGAGGGGGGTGAATCGTGACTTCCTTCTTTCAACAGGCTCCCTACTGGCCCAGCTTGGGCCCTCGAATCCTTGCTCTTCCGGCTCACTCAAGAGCCCTAACAGACAGCAGCCCCTTTGTTCCCCAGATCTCAAGTCCCTTTTTCTGGAAATCATACAACTGCACTCGGAAAGAGGGCAAGTAGAATCCTCCTTGAACTAACCCAAAGTTTGCCAGCTGGGTTCTCCTTCCCAGCTGGGAGGAGGAGGAGGAGGAGGAGAGAAGCCCAGGCTCAGGGCCATCTCCTACTTCGCCACACACAGTCACCCAGGGCTAGCCAGCTAGCCAGCCAGCCAGCCTGGCCTTGCTACAGGCCCAAGGCCACTCCCCACTGAACATGGTGGACTCCATCCTCACAGGGGCTTTCCCAAGGGCACTGTTCCTCTGGGTTGTATGCCAAGGAAACTGTTCCAGGTCCCTCCAAGGCCAAAGACCCATAGGAGGCTCCCAGGCCAGGTTTCAGTTGGCAGGCCCAAGGACTGCAGTGACTGAGGCAGGGACTCCTCAGTGATATCCTAGGAGGCCCAGATGGGAGAGAGCAAGATGGGAAAGACAGGACCCCAGCTAGAGTCCTTGGGACCAAGTCTATCTCTGCCCATACCCTTTGACCCTTTATTTCCTTTTGATGATGGAAGAGAAATGAGTAAGAGGGGAAAAAAGTCACTGTCCCAGTTAAGCATCTCCTTAGAAAGTGAGGGCTCAGGGGTCCTGGCGGGAGATGTACACCCACCCCATGAGGATCCATTTACTTCTGAGACCTCTACCTGGAGAAAGCCCCGCAAAGACCTTGGAAGATTAGCAAGAAGCCAGTGCCAAATGCTGGAGCACCTAGGTTGGGATATAGCGGAGTCAGAACCTGAAGGCTAAATAAAAGTGGAGAGGGGGTGGGAAAAGGATGGGCACAATTCCCAAGCATTCTGGGGCAAGCTGGAATGACAGACGGGGACTAAAGGGTTCTACCAGCAGGGTCAGGCTGAGTTCCTCAAACACTGACCGTAAGTTTCTGTCTCTCAATGGCCTTTGAAACTGCAACCTGAGAAGCTCTTTTCAAAGCCAAACCCCAAAGGAGTCAGGACAGCACTCTTTGAAGCAACTCTCGCAGACTCCTCCAGTCCCGGACCAGAAGGACTTGGTGGAGCCTCTCTGCTCCTCCAGACTAATCAACTCCTGGACACTATAACACCAGGCAGAAAGCCCAGAACAGAGTCTGCTGGGAATGGTCTGCTACTGGGCTGGGCCTTCCTCAGGCCTGGCTACCAGAGTCTCTGGTCTAGCCTGGAGGCATCCTGAGCAAAGGCTCCCAGGTCTGCCTCTGCACTAGGAAACCCCTTGCCCTAGCCTCAGCCTTCCAAGCCCGTGAGAAGCCAGGCCTCCTCCCTTCTCATTAGCAGCTGGCAGCCATCTCAGACATGCTAGAATTCTGCCAGTTCCCAACTAGAAAAAAACAGGGCAGACTTAGAGTGGGACCAAGGCCAATGCAGGGTAACCCTGGTTTCTCAGTGAAGACAAATTTCCAAAACTTTCTCCTTGCTTCCCAGGCCCCCCCCCCCTAGGACCTACACTACATTTCTCAACCCACCTGCCCACAATTCATTAGCCCCCACAACTCCTCCATCTCTCAGGTACTCAGAAATCCTGGACCCCAGACTCTCCCAACTGCTTCAAATCCTCCACTGCAGAATCTGTTACCCTTTCCCCCAACGATTCCACCACCATCTAGCCGCAGCCCGAGGATCCCTGGTCTTGCCCTTTATCGTCGTGAGTTCCTCACGCAGGGCCCCTGTGCCCTCTGTCCAGGAGCTCCTCTCCAGGGCCTCACTCGAGGTCCCCTCCGCCCCCTTCCTGGGGCGCCCTTGCGGCGCGTCCCGCGCTCCTCACCTGGTACTGCGCCGCGGGGCCCGCGGGGCCCATGGGGCGGAAGGCGGCGGCCCCGGGGCCGCCCACGCCTCCGGCCGGCCCCGGTCCCCGGAGCGCCGGTCCAGGCATCATGCCTGGTCCCGCTGGGGGAGGCGGCGCTCCCAGGGCCGCGGCAACGGCGCCGCCGCCAGGGCTCAGCGGGGGCAGCGGGAACCCGCCCGCGCCTCGACCCGACATCACTCCGTCCCGTCCCGGGTTGTCGCGATCCGGACTCCGGGCTCCGCGTCGAATCCACTCCGCGCTCTGAGCTCCGCGATCCGGGACTTTCTGGTCGTAATTCCGGGTTCCGGGGTTTGTTGATCCGGGTTCCGGGATTTCCTAATTCAAGTTCCCGAGCTCCTCACAGACCCCGTTTGGGCCCCGGCGGATCCTGATTCCGCTCCTGTTCTGGAGATTCCAGGTCCGGGATCTGCTACGGGCACTCTTGCCGCCCCCGGCCTCAGGCGGTCTGGCGGCCCTAGTCCAGTTATCCAGAGGCGGCTGCTAACTCCCCGCCCCGCCCAACCCAGCCCAGCACTAGGCCCCGCCTCCACCTAGCCGCCCAATGCTAGAACGTCTCCTCAAATCCCTCCCCTCGTGAGACCCGCCCCCAAAAGGTACCGCCCCTAACCGCCGGGCTCTGAGCCCCGCACACACCCCTTGGGTCAGCTCCTTCCCGGAGGGGCGGGAGCGGAAGCTGAGCACGGAAGCGCCGAGTGAGGCGCAGGGTCAGAGGTCGAAGGTGACCTAAGGTCTCAACAGTGAATGGGCTCTCGCTACCATTTCCAGAGTGTTCCGCCTCACCAAATTACCCGGCCACACTCCCTGGAGATAGTTTTGTCAAGTCTCCCTTGTGCATTTTCAGCCTTAAAGACTCAACTTAGAGCTGCTGTCTGGGGCATAACAGCCGCCAACTTCCTTTAAAAGCTCATCCTGGTGGTCCGGAGTTGCCAAGGACATGAGCGGCTCCAGACCTGATCCAGCTGTGTGAACGGTTGACTCGGCCAAGCGCTGAGTTCTTATCAAACGTTTTTAACATGGCTCTGCATCACTTTAAGGAAACTTGGTACTTGACTCCACAGGAAATGTTTCTAGTCGAAGGAAATTTGGATTATGAAAAACCTCCCTGTGGTTAAATACAGTCTTTCTCCAGCATTTATAGCACTTAATCTTTAAAAATTCAATACCTTTTCAGAAACACTGTCCTGCATTAGAAAGTATTCAAAATAAAGTGCTTCAGTGGTGCCAGGGAGCCTAGCCTCTGATGGTCAAGGGTCTCCTCATTATACACACGAGTGC